ATACCACCAACTACAACACTAAAAATAAATAGTTCTTCCACCATTACAAGCCTAACTACAGGTCCATCTGCAACAATTTCTACTGGTACTGCTTTGCCAACTATTTCAACCAGCATGTCTACAGCATCAGCTACCTCATCAACAAGCATTACTTCCTCCACAAGTAAAAGCTTATCAACATCTACAACAACAGCTTCAACAAAGATGAATGCTACACCTTCAGTTTCTTCAACAAGCGCCTTTTCACAACAAATTATAACACAAACAGTCCAGAGTTCCCCAACTGGTAAAAGCATACATACAACTCCAACACCATTGTTTTCAACTGGTATGAATGCACCACTGACTAAAACACCTACAGTCCAGAATTCCTCCAGTACTACTAGCATGACAACACAATCCTTAACTACAACAGCTACAAGAATGTCATCAACAAGCAGCACTATACTACCAACTTCAACACTAATAGCCCAAAATTCCTCCATCATTACACACATATACACAAGTTCATCTAACATAACTTCTACTGGTGCACCTTTACCAACATATTTATTCAGTGTGCCTTCAGCACCAACAACACATTCAACAGGCCTTAGTTCCTCCACTAGAATAAGCAAATCAGCAACTACAGCTACAACTTCAACAAAGTTTTCTGCTACACCATTAATTTATTCAACAAGCAGGTGTACACAACAAGTTACAAGCCCAAGAGTCCAGAATTCCCCCACTGGTAAAAGCATATCCACAAACTCCAAAATCTCTACAGGTACACTATCACCATCAATTTCACCTGTCATAAATACTACACCACCAACGTCGGCATCAACAATCCTTATTTCCTCCACAAGTAAAAGCATATTGGGAACTACAGCAAAAACTTCCACACTTTTTTCTTCTATAACTTCAATTTCTTCAATAAGCAGGTTTATACAAGTTACAACACCAACAGTCCAGACTTCCCCCTCTGATAAAAGCATATCCACAACTTCAACAACAATCTCTACTGGTACACCTTTACCATTGTTTTCAACTGGCATTAATACATCAACAACTGAATCAACAACATTCCAGAATTCCCCCAATACTACAAGCATAACAACCCAATCTACTACAGCAGCTTCAAGGATGTCATCAATAAGCAGCACTATACTACCATCTTTAACACTAATTCAAAATTCATCCACTGTTACAAACATATACACAAATCCATCTAAAATAACTTCTACTAGTACACATTCACTAACTTATTTAACCAGAATGCCTACAGCACCAACAACGCATACAACAGTCCGTAATTCCTCCACTAGTGTGAACAAATCAACAACTGCAGCAAAAACTTCAACAAAGGTTTCTGTTACACCTTCAACTTCCACAAGCACTTTCATACAACAAGTAACGAAAGCAACAGTCCAGAGTTCCCCCACTACTAAAAGCATATCCACAACTCTACCAGCAATTTCTATTGCTTCACCTTCAACAACCTTTTTGGCAGGCTTCTCCTACAATGCATCAAGTATATCTCCATCTCCAATGACAACAACATCTTCTACAACTCCTTCAATAACTTCTCCAACTTTCACAACATTAAAAACAACGACCTATACTCCTACACCTCTATGTATTTGCCGTTGGTCAGATTGGAGTGGCCCAACAACAGGTGTTAAAGGTGGTGAACTAATACCCTTTACTTTCTTCCTTCAAGACAGTAGTTCATGAAATATAGTCTTTATTTCTCAGAATTTCTAGACAAATGTGATATATAACTGATTTTTCAGATTATATATATAGTTTGGTTCAATAATACTTATACAAACATTGATACAAAGTAAAACGATTATTGTAAAGACCAATATATTTTCTTTAGACATAGGTCAAATGTTAATCTAGATGAGTATAATAATATAATATAACAATCAGTATAACAAAATATTTGGGGGCATTTTATAACTTAATTTCAACCAGCAACCAGTATTTGTTTTGCACATCAAAACTCTGCTGTCAAGCTAAATACTATTTTAACAAAATTGTTTCTTTTCTTCTTTTTTTTTCATTGGGGAGTGTTATTTTCTTTTAAGACAAACTGACTGAAACAGGTTTAAACCATATTTCAACCATCATTTCACTTTTTTTCGTGTATGAAGCGCTTTGCAATATTATGTGACATATTTATAAGTAACATTTATTATTCAATCAGCAGATACTGTTTTCTGAAAGGGCTTAGAAATGAAGAACATCACAAGCAATTTTTCACAAGAACCAACGATTTTTGCATTTCTGTTTTATGGCACTTGAAGCATAAATCACACCCCTTTGCTTTTTTTGCTGTTGCTACAACTAACAAGCCATATCTAAATCTTATAACTTTCAGTGAAGGTAAATGTTTTTGTCTGTTTTTCCGGTTCCCCTCAAGTATGTTTATTCAATCATTGTGAAAGGAACCTTTACATAAAGGCTTTAACTTACCTCAGTTTAATCTTCAGTTGCATATACCATGCCATAGCAGAGCATCAATCATGACAATGTGTGTTTGAACTACGCTGTTGAGCCACTGAGTTAATTTCTGAATCCTGAATCCAGTTTACGCCAAAGACCATATTAAGCTCCACCTGTTTGCTTTGTGCTTGTGAGATAATACGGCATATAGCAGAGTGTGACGAAGACTGTGAGAAAACATGCCAGATCCCAGTTTCAACATACAGTTTTCATAGGCTTAGTGGCCATGCACACATCTTTTGACAAGACATAAGCCAGAGGTTGGGATGGCATGAAGGCTTCGGGAGAGGATCTACTCATTTTTAATAACAATAATCAAATAAAACAAATTCAAAAATTTGGATTCAGCTGATAAATCTTGAATATGATGCTTTACGACTCTGTTTATTTTTCAACAAATTTTGTTATTTCTTTTTTTTATGAAACATAATTGGTTTTTAAAATGTAAATGATTTATTATTGACATTCTGGTGTTTACACACACACACACACACACACACATACACACACATATATATATATATATATTTTTTAATTTTCATTGATCAGGATGCAGATCCTGGAAAAATTTTATGACTCACCCTATTGGTCGCAAGCAATAATTGCTATTATGCAAAAACCTTTCCTTGCGCTAAAAGTAACACAGGGCCTGACGTTTTGTTAAGGTGTTCACAGCGTTGCGTCACTTTTAAGGATTAAATACACTAAAGACTCAATATTTATACATCATTAGTTCAAAGGAGTCCCCCACCCCGTGCATTGTTGAAAGCCTTTCGCTTGCATTACAGAAAAGGCACACCAAAACCACAAACAACTACACATATAATGATATTTCCAGCTATTGCTTTATTTCAAATATGTCTGGTATTTTATTCTAGCTGGTTTTCAGCATTTTGGCACACAGATGGCATGTCTAGTGGAGTTCAAGATGCTAAATAAAAAGTACCAGAAACATGTTAACAACTAAACTAAAATGAGCTCAAACTAAATCAAGTTTACTTATACATGGGCTATCACGGTGTTGTTTTATCATCTATATATCGCTGAAATGTAGTTTCTAATTATAGTCATACTTACTACGTAAAACTAAGCATCATAATAATAGACTTTTAATTTAAATTAAACAGTAAATGTAAAAAAATGATTTTATTGAAGTACGTATATTGGAGTACATTTCACAAGAAAAAGCTCTTTCAAAATGTAATGTTTGAAAAGTCTGGTACTTGTCTTTGCTTTGTAATTTTTTTGTGAAATTTACTTGCAATTTATGAGTGAAAATAGTTTATACACTCAGTGTATAACTGTAAAGATTGAATAAAGATGTCATGAACAAAGGGATATGTGTGGTTGAAAAAATGTAAAATAGCATCAATATAATTGATTGAATATTTATTGAAGTGGCTTCAAACTTCCACTGAATTATTGTTAATTGTTAATTTAATTTAATTTAATTTTATTTTATTTTATTTAATTTTATTTTATTTTTAATTTTGATTTTAATTTTGATTTATTTTTATTTAATTTAAATTGTATTTATTTTTATTTATTTTTTTGGATTGTAGTATTTTCCCACATTCAATAAATGTAGTTTCTAATAAGAGCCTGATTTATTAATGGAATCTAAATACAGGTATGGAAATCTATCAGCTAAATGTTACATTATGCTGTCATGCAAAATAAACATGTGGCCCCACCTTTAGTTCGATCTTACGTCCCTTCAGAAGGACAAGTGCTATAAAACTCTGAGTATAGGACTGTGTCTTTCTCATTGAACCCGTGGAGAGCTCGCCGCTCCTCACACATCATGGAGAGGATACAGAGCATGTCTATAGGAGCGCTGGTATGGACACTGTCTATTGGACTTGCTGCGACACAAACCAGTAAGATTCATTTACAATACGTGTTTCTAAATACTGGCTTTAAGCATTTTATTTCATTTACATTGATTGTAAAATGTTTTCAATCTCGGTAACACTTTACAGTAAGATTCCACATGTGTTAACACTGAACTAACAATGAAAAACACTTCTAAAGCATTAATTTTAAAATGTACTAATACTTTATTAAAAATCTAAAGTTGTATCTGTTAATATTATTTAATGGACCTGAGTAACATTAACAAACATTAACAATGAACAATTGTATTTTTACATTAAATACTGTAACAAATGTTAATGATAGTTATTGCATTTCCTGATGTTAACTAATGAAACCTTATCATTAACCGTTTTTTTTTTCTACTAGAATAATTTATCTTTAAATAGGGGAATTTACTAATACAATAATTATATCATTACATGTAATGACAGGATGTTAATAATATTGTGGAAGAATTAGTTAAGAATGTATATAATGGCAGAAATTATTTCAGTGATTAAAAGGGGATCGTATATCTATGAGATCCAGTTTAATTAGTGGAACTGAAAAATTTTGTTTGATTCAAACAACCATTTTATATATGAATTCAGACTTTTTCTCTAAATCCTCCAGTTTTCACTACAACGAACATGATTCCAACTGCCACAATAGAAATGGTTTCAGGTAAGAATCGTTCAAAAATCCAAAAGTTTCCTCATTAGCAACTTTAAAATAAACTAAAAACGATTGGGTTTTTTTGGACCAGGAGTGAGTTCACAACACAACGAGCAGGTTTGCAGTGTGTGGGGAAACTATCATTACAAGACCTTCGACGGGAACTACTTCCAGCTCCCATCTTCCTGCAACTACATCCTGACGTCACACTGTTCGGCCAGCTATGAGGACTTTAACATCCAGCTGAGACATCAGGTGGTGAACAATGAAGCCACAATCAGTAAAATCACCATGAAGCTGCAGGGGACAGTCATAGAGCTGACCAAAGGCTCTCTCAGTGTTAACGGGCAGATGTAAGTGATTCTGATGATCAAATTAAATATATCTCATATGACTTAAACTGTGTTGACTTTTGACGTCATTGCTGTCAGCTTTCACTTTGTTTTTTGATGGTGGTGGTTTGGGAGCTATTAATGCAAACATAATATCTTTGACTGATCTGTATTGTATAAGGTGACTTGACTTGATTGAATTTTACCATCCTCTCTGTAGAGTCACACTTCCATTTAGCAGCTCTGGCGTTTTCATCGAGAAGATGACGTCTTATATTTCAGTCAAGGCTGTTTTGGGGCTTGTAGCAATGTGGAATGAAGATGATTCGTTCATGGTAAAGATGATTTTCTTCATGCAACAAACATTTATACTGCCTCCAATACCTGCAAGAAGGGAACCAATGCAGGACTCATATAACAAATATTTGATTGGTTTTCAGGTCAAGCTAGATGACAAATACAAAAACCAAACGTGTGGACTTTGTGGAGACTTCAACGGAATCCAGTTTTTCAATGAATTCATCAGTGACGGTACATTTATTTAAATTTATTTGACTATGGGGAAATACATTTGTAACCTTCTTGGATGTTTTACGTTATTATACACAGACAATAAAGAATCGTTAATCTCCTGTTCTAGGAATTACGCAGTCCGTGTCTGATTATGGGAACCTCTGGAAGATGGACGGTCCAATGGAAGTCTGTAAGGAAGACACAGTAGCTCTTGAAGAAAACTGTGGAGATGAGGTAAGAAATGAAATTGTACTTATTCTCTGTCTACACAGAAATGACAAGCAATTAAGTCACTTCATGTGTACAAACTAGGGTAATAATAATCAAGCATTCAGGGTAAAAATCCAATGGTTTCAGTTAAAATGTCAATTATGGGCGACCAAGGAAATTGCGAGTGGGTGGCGAATTTAGGTTTAGCACGTGTATTGTGGTAGTGTTAAAAAATCATGAGCATAAGCACAAAAGTAGTCATTTAGCAGAGACTTTTATGCATAGAGACCCCACACTTATTGCTTTGCTTAAAGATAAAAATGATGTTGGTTCATACTCGTTGTCCCTTTTGTCCCAAACTACACATTTTACCCACCATTTATCAAATAAGATTTATACTTCTGAAAATAAATAAATAAATAAAGCATTTTAGCATAAGGTGGCAACATAACCAAATGTAAAAACTATGCAATGTTATTGTGCGTTTTTTTGGGCCCCATACAGCTTGAGTTAATATTATGAATCACATATTATATGCAGGATACCCAGGGTTCAAGTCACAGGTAGATATATTTGTGTTTAGTAAATCAATTTACATTTAAAAAAAAATGCATTTGAATGTGAATGGGTTTATATCAGAAGCAGTGAGTCTTTGGAATTATCATTATTAGTGGTTTCATCATTTGTAGCTGTAGCAGTAATTATTTTACTGGTTTGTTGGTTACAATTTTGTGACTCCATATGATTTCTCTCACCCCACAGAATTTCTGCCGTGATATCTTCTCCAGTTCAGTGTTCAGTGATTGCAGAGGTCGGGTGTCCATTGATTCATTTCTCCAAGTTTGCATGAAAGACCTGTGCCATTGCAACGGCACCTCTGGATCCTTCTGTCTATGCAAATCCATCGGCGAATATTCAAGGCAGTGTGTGCATGCAGGGGGAAAGCCTGAAGAATGGAGATCAGAATATTTTTGCCGTAAGTATGGCATCTTCTTTAAGTGCATCATTTTTTAGTCCTTTGCAAATGTTTGTCTTACCATTAGACTATCTAGATCAAGGCCTATGGTTGCTAACTTGCTATAGTCTCTTCTTGTAGTTTTGTATTATTTTTTTTAATTGATGCTCTCTGAATAGTATGTCCTCTTCTTTTGTATGTTGCAGCACATCCGTGCCCAGAAAGTATGGTCCACCAAGAATGTGGAAATCCCTGCACTGACACCTGCACAAACCCTGATATAGGACAAGTGTGTGAGCACCACTGCATTGATGGATGCTTCTGCCCTCCTGGTACAGTGTTTTACCATGGTTTTCTTTATCTAAAGTAACTGGCTACATTGATTTCACTTTTCACTGATTTCTTTTAACTTTAATCTGATACTATTTTCGTTTATCCCTTTTATAGTGGTCTTCAGTCATTTTAGAATGATAAAATGTGGTCTTCGGTCATTCAGTTATTTTAGAATGAAAATTTAAAAAATGTGAATTTTTAAAATGTTCACTTTCTTAATGTAACGCAACTTTGTGGCACTTGCTTCATGAACACTCACACACACACACACACACATATACACGTTATTAGAATATGATTAGAAAACAATAAATGGTCTTTAAAAATAATCACACTTGTATGACTTGTATGACTGCCATAGCAAATGAAGGGGCAGTACAAAAAATATGAAAATACAGAGCATTTTTAGGAGTACAATCTACAACTCAACCACAGTGAAGTAATATTTGACAATGTCTAAATATATATCCAAATACAAAACCTAATAAAAGTAAGTAATTATGCCTGAACATACTCTTATAAGCAAGTAGGGAATAGACAACATTTAGCGGTTACAGTTCATATGACTTTCTTCATTCTTCCACCAAATGTCGTCAATCTGCCTTAAATGCATTGGATATTAATTCCTTTGCTATATTCTTAACTTAAACATTACTTAAATGTATATGAAATATTTAGGGGCCAAGCACCATAGGTGCTGTAGGCCCTGTTGTATCTGTTGGTTTTCTTTTTTTCTAACATTTCTATTATTTTATATAGACATAAATGCTGCATAATTTCGAGGTGGAAATTGCCTAGTGCCATGAAATCTCCAAATATTAAATATTAAAGAATAAATATTGTGGAAACAAAATATAGTAAATTTATTTTGGCCTGTTTTGACCTTTAAGGATCACACATCTGACCCCTAAGTGAGGAATACCAGATGGTTAAACAACAATAATTGGCAGATTTCTTACTGGTGTTCTGAACACGTCCATTCTGTCCTGAGCAATAACCCATTTTCCCTCGTTCTCTCTCCTCCAGGCACTGTTTTTGATGATATACACAATACTGGCTGTATCCCACACAGTGAATGCTCCTGCGTCCTTGGAGGTAAAATATTCGCCTCTGGGGAGAATTACACAAGCAGCTGCAGAGACTGGTAAGACTCTGTCATTTGGCATTCACACTTAATTAACAGAATTAGCTTTTATACTTGGCATAAACATGATTCATATATTAGACAAGATTGTGTTTTATGTTGTAATATTAAATTCTATTCTATACTGAGAGTTTTGAAAAGTGTATGTTTAAAGTGACATTATTATTTCCCATGTAGCACCTGTGAACAGGGACATTGGAACTGTATTCAGAAGGACTGCCCACATTCATGCTCAGTAGAGGGTGGATCCCATATTACCTCTTATGATGGAAAAGCCTACACCTTTCATGGAGACTGCACTTATGTCCTATCCAAAGTATGTACTTCCTTGTTCTTGAAGGCAGTTTATAGGACAACTTTACAAGTCATATAAGCCATTGCTGCACTAATTAAAAGTAGTAAAATAGTGATAGATTTTTAAAGCATTGTGCTAAACAATGTTAACCTTGTCCATTTTTCTTTCTTTTTCAAAAGCAATGCACAGGCACAGAATTCACAGTCCAAGGAGACCTGGTGAAATGTGGTGTGACTGAAACGGAAACCTGTTTGAAGTCAGTAACGCTGGCATTGTTAGATGGAACTAATGTAAGTACTAAAAGTAAAATTAAACTGTTAATGTTTTCCAAAACAGCCTTTTATCATAACTTGACGAAACTGCTCCTCACTCTTCATGTCACTGCCATTTATATTCAATCTACATGTCTTAAACATTTGCAAACAGACAAAATTCATTGATTTTTTATTGATGTTTTATTCCCTTGCATACAGGTGATTAAAGTGGATTCCAGTGGAAATATTGAGGTCAACAGAATAATTGCCCAGATGCCACTTTATACAGGTAGGCAAATTAACAAATACAAGAAGGGACATTTTTTAAAGAAAAAACTAAAATTCATAATAATAACAAAACCAACACTGATAGGCATACCAGTACTGAATCAGTTTTTGTAATAAAGGGATTTTGGACTTTTTTGTTTTATTTTTACAACCGGTGATTCCACAGAGATATTACACCAGGTGACACTGTAGAATAACCTATGTATGCAATTTCCCGTGAAATCTGCCCCTTACAGCACTAAAATATAAATCACTATTATTACAGTTTTATCAAAGTGTATTTGGGTAAAGTAAAGACATGGTTTGGAAGATTTGTTGGCGCATTTTCAATGATAGCATTTTGTTGTTTTATCTTTTATTGAAAAAGTTACAAAGTGTAACTTTAATTTCAGAGGAAGGTAATTTGGTGAATGCAGGGAACGTGAAATCTTTATTTAAAATAGTGTAGGTGCATTTGAATAATTGTTCAGGAAAAAAGTTAGTATGGACATTGCTTATACAAAAACTGCTCGATTTCTGCTTTATTACTGATTACCAATGTATGCAATTATATATTATTATTTGTCTTTCAGCTGATGTGAGCATTTTCAAGCCCTCCTCATTCTACATTGTCATTCAGGCCCATTTGATTGGGCTTCGCCTAGAGATCCAGCTTGTACCATTAATGCAACTTTACATCACAGTCAATTCAGTGTACCAAGGAGAAACATGCGGTATTTATTTTTTTACAGACCTCTTTTCTTTAACTCTCTCATGCAATACTCTGAATAAAAGCAGCATCAATTTATTAAATATGCATGTTTATTCATTGTATATCTAAGGTTTTCTGTGGGATTTCCTTCATGGTATCACATTTAATTCTTTCCTCGAATGCTTTTGTTAATAACAAATCCATTTACAGGTCTTTGTGGCAATTTCAACAACATTGAGGCTGATGACTTCACAACCATTGGTGGACTCAGGGAAGCAACCGCTTTAGATTTTGCAAACACCTGGAAAACAAGAGCAAGTTGCCCTGATGTCAAAAGAAACTTTGAGAATCCTTGCAGTCTTAGCACTGAAAATGGTATGAATTCATGCTATTGTTGTCATTTGATTCCCACAATACCGCGCAACACTTTGCCTTTATAACTCTGGAATGTCATTAAAGACTAATTATTTAAATTATCCCCCCCACAGAGAAATATGCACAGCACTGGTGTTCCCTGCTATCAGATCCCTCATCAGTGTTTGCCCCCTGCCACTCTGAAATCAGCCCTGAAGTCTACAAAGCAGTAAGTAAAATTACGTTACTTCTCTTGAATTGTTTTCTCTAGAGTTTTCTCTAACTTTTACATCCTTTCTAGAATTGCATATATGACAGCTGCAACTGTGAGAAAAGTGAGGACTGCATGTGTGCTGCTTTGTCTTCATACGTTCATGCATGTGCTGCAAGAGGGATCGCTCTTGATGGCTGGAGAGAAGTTGCCTGCAGTGAGTTGCTTTCTTCTCTGGAAGGCTTGAGAATATTTGATAGCTGTCAACAGCTCGACAAGCTCTTTTTGTGTTTCAAGTATGTGAGAGCTCTCGGTCTCTTTCTTCTCAGAACCCTACACGCTAACCTGCCCCAGCACCACGGTCTACTCTTATCAAATGACCAGCTGTGACCGCACTTGCCGATCCCTCAGCCAATCAGACAACACCTGCGCTATTGACTTCGTGCCAGTAGATGGCTGTGGCTGCGCACAAGGAACGTACATGAACGAGAAT